AAACTGGGGGGGGGGGGGTGTCTCTTGGGCATTCAGTAATCTCCTTTCTGAAGCGGAATACTCTTGTCTAGAGCCCTTCAAGCGACTTGACGCGCCGCTCATCGCCTTATTACTGTTAAGCTCTTGTCCATTAGCTGACTGAACCTCTAGAACATTCATGAGAGTTGTTCAACCCATAAGACTCTAGCGACCCATCAAATAACATATAACGAAAGCAATCTAGCTCAAATTCAACAAGCTATAATAAACCTGCACTTGGAATCTTGTGAACACAGTAACAAACCTTGTGGTTCCATGAAAGACGGGGAATTTTATGCTCATCTCACTATTAGCTTGCCAGGACGACTCAGCACCAGGGAGTTCAACATTGCATTTTACATGTTTACATATTACATTTTTTACTTAAAAATTGACCGTTAATAATGACGGGAAAATCTAAGTTAACATTTAAAGCTCATTTTATTTACATAAATGACAAAGAAGCTTACAAAAATTAAAACCTTGTTTTTCTTTCCTTAATTAAAAAAAGAAACTTCGAAGCGTTAACACGTAAATATCTATTTTGCTGCGTTGTACAGAAATGGGCCTACATGTACTGTACATAGTAGGCCATAGATGAGTGAACAGTTTTTTGTTTTAGTTCATTGTTTACCCAAAACAGCATGTAAAAGTTATAATTAAATAATATTTGATAAAGTAAAATTATTACTTTTTTGGTTAATTAAATTATATAATTTAATGTAGTGAAATCTCAAATATGATCTTATATCAAAGTTATATTACTATGCTGCGTTGTATAGAAGTATAGGCAGCGATTATATTAAAGGTTATCAAATCATGGATTAATCATGTATCTCGTATCTAATCCATACCACGCCCATCTGTGCATGAAAACTCTCAGTTAGAACAGTCCATATCAAGAAAGAGAATCGAACCAATGAGATGTCGAATTCAGAGCCTCTTATGACTGAAAGGGATTGTGGGGATGAAAGTGTCATTTTTTGCCAGTGATTCTGTTTTCCGCTGCTAGTCATCCACACTGAGTCAGTACGCTACCTGTCGACGACGGACATTGGTCGACGCGGCGCCGTCGAGTCCACAAGTCTGGTGTCATCTATCCGCACCAGCAGAATGTCGCCGCTCTGCATCTCAGCGCTCCCCTCCCAGCTCACAGACACCGGAGCGCATTCAGCTTCCTCGTTGTCCTCGCCCTCACAGTCAGGTTGCACCTGCACATTTGCGCACCACAAATTATTAATTACCTCAACGTTTTCCTCCGCCGTCACCTTCGTAATTGTTAACGTACATAAAGATACATTAATAATTTAGGCATGCTGATAATCTGTCTATACCAAATTTCATCAGTTTGCTTCATTTTTCGTTAATTATCTCTATGAATCCGAAAACTAATCAAGATATCGCGCAGTCGCCATGTTGTTATGCATTCTAAAAACAAAATTGTACCTCTTTCAAATATCTCTTATCAAACCGCGCCGCTGTCTTGTTGGTATTATTATTATTGGTGGAAAATGTAAACTTTCAAGTTAGATGAACTCTAGTAACACGAAATTCATGACAGAGTTTCGTGAAAATCTATCAGTTTGTTCAAAGACAGACACGTGGATATAATAAATGTAATGAATAATGATATCGGAATGTTATACCGTTTAAGATGCAGATATCAGATTAAATAATGAAGATTACTCTTCTAGAACACTGTCCCGTGTAATCTGGTATAATTTTACCGACGTTCCCCCTTTATCGTTAGGGCGCATCGCTCTGATGATGGACGCAACAAGCACTTCTGAAACGTCGGTAAGGTTCTCCTAAATTAAATAATGTCCTAATTTTGTAATAATGCTTAAGACTGTTTCATGGCCCTGCAATGGACTGCGTTTGGCTAGAGTTGCAGAGCCCGATGTGAGTAACCTTCTTGACAAATGTGAATGACCCAAGGAGCCGATGGGTCTTCTATATATATCAATAACCAGAAAGAATATATCGCCGTTTTTATCGGTCTCCATGGTGAACTGTATGTTGCTGTGAATGCTGTAAGATAGCCCGAGAAGTCGCTAAGTTTTTTCTGGTCCATTGGACAAGATTACGAACGCATAAGTAGGTTGTTATGGAAACGGAAGGCATCCGTTCAGTTTCCTTCGGCCCACCTACTTCTCAAGAAACCATGCGTCTGTACCAGGGGTCAGCAATCTTTTCATTACTGCGGCCGCATTGGACATTCGCATCTTTGCTAAGAGCCACAGAATAAAATTAATAATGCCATGGACAGCAACCAAAACTGCATTTAATTCAAAGTATCCAGTTTAAAACGGGTAGTAGCCGTATTTCTCCGTACAATTGAATTTATTGTAAAGAATTTATTTGCTGGCTTTCAAACAACTTTGACTTCAAATCATTGTTAGTTTCACAATAATTTTCATGTTTTTGAGTTAAATTTCGTGTGGTTTGAACAACGGAAAATGTTATAGGCCAACATTTACAAATGTTTATTTCGTTTGTTCCTTCCCGATTGCTTGTCCTTACGCTTCTATAATATGCGTTATATATATTTATATAAATGTTCTTCAGTAACAGATATTTTCCTTACACCAATTCCAAGTCATGTGACGGCCACGTAAAAAGTTTTAAGACATCTAAGATTGTATCTGGACGAATATACAAGTTTTATGTTCAGTGTTCCTTCGCCATTTGCAAAAGACAGGCCAACATCAAGAAACTTGCCGTGTTATCTTGTAAACTTGTAAAAGTACGCGAAGTTATTGGGAAACTGATGACGTCTCCCCCAACGCCCCCTCATTTAGTCCCTTGGCATGAGTCTTTTACTTTTTCCTGTCTCTCTCCCTCACTCTCTGTCGTGTTAGTTCAGCCAGCGCTGAGCCAGTGATTAAGATTCAACAGAGCAGATAATTGTTGAGGAGAGAACTGGCCGCGTGTAACAAAACCGGTGGCGTCTGCTGCCGGCATAATGATTTAAGACGCGAAGCTTTGGATTATACGTGAGGCGCCATATTAAGCTTTTATTTTAGAAAATGGGTTTAGAAAGTGGCGTTTTGCGCATTTACTTATTCTCTTATATCATTGATAACATTACATTGCCTAGAATATAAATTTTCTTGTGACAAAAGAAGGAGATGTATATGAAAAGAAGCTTGGGGTTTGAAGTTTTCTGTCTTCTGGGTTGTTGCGATTCATCGCCCTGATGACGGAGGCAGTATGACCTCAGAAACGTTGATAATCATCGACCAGACTACACAGCGCAACAACCCAGAAGACAGAAATCTTCATACTCTGATGACGGAGGCAGTATGACCTCTGAAACGTTGGTTAACATCGACCAGACTACACAGCGCAACAACCCAGAAGACAGAAATCTTCATACTCACCGCTGTGAAAACCTCAAATCTTCAAGGCTTAGGGTTTATTTCCATGTTGAAAATGGTGATGATGATGATGGTGATTTAAAGGCATTCTTCCCCCCCCCCCCACATTTCTCGAAGAGATGAGTGATATTTTGTTGTTCACACAACAGAATGTCTGGGACAAAATTCCGTAAAGGCTTTTAGGCTTGTATGCTACACAGAATGTATACGAAATATTTTTCTTTGGATTTTTTAAAATATAATATACAATATCTGAAAAGTGTTTAAAATAAAATATATAGGTTTTAATCAGAGGTATATTTTGTTCAGTAGGCCTACCAGTCTATTCTACGATGTGCCATTTTAAGGATGATCAATTTAATTTGATTTAAGCTTTATATAAAATAATGAACTAATGCAGACATATCTGTTTATCCGTCTGTAAAGTACTGCAATGCAGATATGAAGTTATATCAGTTTATGCTAAGACATTGTTAAGTTTTATTTTACATGTAATGTTGGCGTTAGAATTGAAACGAAGAATGCTTACCAAGTTTAGACAGATTACTTGCCATTTCCAATTAACGTTAATAAATGGAAATACTAAAACTTTTCTGTCATTCCTATTGGGATAAACAGAAGAGGGAGTTGCTCAATTTTTTCAGTTTGTCTTTCGATAAATTGCTGCTAACTATGCCGTTTGCTTAGTTTTTGATGCAGTATTTTTGAGAGCACTTATACCCTATTACCCCTATTAATTGACCCCTTGAAGCACGAAATTGCTCTAAAGAATATTCAGAAATTCAATTATTGTCTCAGAGGAAACAGAATACGTCTTCATTGCAGTGATCATTTAGCCAATGGTGATTAAATAAATTATCGTTGTTACGCCTTCTTTGGACGAAGTGCATAGCGAGAACGCGTTATGGGTTGGTCGTGTCTGTCCTTCCGCCTGTCCATTCGATTTAACTCGAGAACGCCTGGACGGATTTGGATGAAATTTGATTTGGACTTTTTCTGTTCTGCACGACTTCAAAATCGTACATGTGAGCGGTGATAACAAAATGACCGATGACGCAGTCATTAAGGTGCTGCTATCTGGTGGCCAAAGTGGGAACTATCGAACAAGGTGGATTTAATGCCTCTAAATGCAAGTTAAAAAGGACGCATGGGGATATTGCTTGTGTTCCGGTACGGAACACAATTTCCAAGCTTGTTCATTCTGAGAATCATACGAAACCAGCAAATAGAGTATGTGGGCAAATTGCAGGGTAACTGAATTTTGCATTAGGTGGTGCATATAGTAGACACTCCGCTTTAAACTGATAAAAACCATCAAACATCGACATGTTTTAAAAATGAGGCTTTTATTAAAGCCGATTTTGACTTCCAATACAAATACAAAGATATATTGCCTTTATTTCCATTTACGTACATACAAAACTGTTTTGCAATGCTGCGTTGCTTCGGAATAGGTTTATGAAATATTTAATCTCTCTTTAAGCGAAAGAAATAAGTATTTAAGATTATCTAATTATCACACAGTCCACAACAAAAACTGAAATTCGATTGATATATTATTATATTATTTATTTAGTGTTCTGTCTGACGACAGGTCCATATGAACAGGATCCTTTTCTCGGACTGGGACCTGTTCATATACGTTCTTGGCAGATGATCCAGAAGTTGTTTGCCATTGCCTTCTTCTGTGTGTGAATGTAGTAATTGTTGGGATGTCACGGAGAAACCGGGGAAGCCCCCGGAGGAAAACTCCGTGTTGCCTAGACCACGGCCTTGCCCAACACAAGTTATAAATTCGGGCACCGCCGGGAATCGAACCCGAGACCCCAGGATTACAAGGCCAGCGTTCTGACCGCTATACCACCGTGGAGATTGATATATTACAGATCAATAAATCTACCCGCAGCCATTTGGGGACTTACGTAAACATGTTAAACATTTGGATGTGTTTCTTGTGCAAACATGATATGTGAATGATCATATCTGCCCATCCGAATATTGACCCTTACTAGCCACTTAAATTTATTGGAATTTAGAGAAGTCCTGATAATTTAATGGGACTTATTTTTGTACTGTGTACTATTTGGTATTGGCATTTTGGACTTAGGGTGTTTTTTTTTCTTTACCCATTTCCTTGAATTGCAGCAACGGACACGAATCAATAACGGTCTGTCAGTTTTTCAAAAATTTAAGAGGTCTCGTTAACAATTAATGAAAAACATTAAGTTCAAAATACAGAATTATAGCTTGAAAGGCATTGTAAACGCTATACTCAAATACACACACATACGGGTATAGAATCCACTGCAGGTTTAAACAGCCACGTCTTGTAATATTTGTATTCATATTTATTGCCGCATTCGATGATTTTCTGGCAATTCGATCTGAACCAGGTGTACACTGCTTGGGAAGTTCCTTATAAAACTTTGCTTTAAAATATTTCTTTTCTTGTGCAGTGACAATAATCTAACTTTTCATACCAGTTCCGGCAGTTTAAGTTCCTTCTTCTTCGAAAAATATGTAACAAGAGAGCAGTGATAGTTGCTTCTGCTTCCCCTTCCGGTTGTGATGCCCGTGAAAGGGAAGGGGAGAGGTTGGTATTCTTGGGCGACAGCCAGGTCCAAACACAAGGTCGATAATGCACCACAGAGAGACAAGAAAACTGCATTAAATAAACTTAAAATATAAATATATTGGCAAATAGGTATTTAAGACGTCTTTCTCTAAAAGTTACACAAGAAAGTGAACCCTATTAACCACTCCGACACTTTATTTTTGGTGCTGCCTGTATTTTGTTAATTTATTTTGGCATCCACTAAGCAAGTTGCCTA